CCGTCTTGCCAGGCTTCCCATGCGCCAACACCGTTCAACCGGTGACATGAAACCCTAACCCCCTCTGAACAGAGTGTTCAAAGGGCCAGTTGATAGCCAGCTCCCTCTTCGGCAGAGCCACTGCCAGCCGCAGCGGACTCAGACAACTTTGGCACGCATGGCCCTGCCCCTGCCAAACTCAGGAGTCGAGCCTCGAGACGGCTATCAGGCACGGTACCCCTTACAGCCCCCTCCTCCTGGTGCAGCTGCAATGGCCTGCGGTGCTTGTGTGAGGACCAATTCTGCTTGCACTGAAGCTTGCGTTTGGCCTTCTTGTTGGGCGCTGCCTCCACCTGAGCCCAGATTTGGCCCGCTTGTTGCTCTGCCTGCTCCTGAAGCTCTTGCATCACCCGCCTCCTCTTGTAAATAGCGGCAACCTTGTGCGCACATTCAATAATCTTGTTGACACCTTCCCTGTATGCAACATCAAAAGGCGGCAGCCAGCATCCTTCAAATCCCTCCTCATTGCCAGGCTGTTCAAGTCCGAGTTGCAGCAGTGCTGGCAAAGTTCTTGCCATTGGCTGCACTTGTCTGCATTTTGCTGCAGCGCAAGATGAAATGTGTTAGCCACAGTACACAAGGCAGCACAAGGCCACATGTGACAGTCTCAATTCAACAAGTTGTGTACCTGATCAGATGTCAAAACTCAAGACTCAAGACTCAAGACTCAAGACTCAAAACTCAAGACTCGAGACTCAAAACCCAAGACTCAAGGCTCAAGGCTCAAGGCTCAAGGCTCAAGACTCAAGGGGACGTGCGAGCCCTGAGGCTCCGGAAATGTGATTTGTAAGCAAAAAAGCGAGCTGGCGGGCTGAGCCGTTGCGAAAGCGTGGAGCAGTTGGATGCCATTGCGAGATGCGAGAGTGGTACGAATACAATGAGGATAGAGAGCAGTTGGATGCTACGGAACTGGGATGCTGACAAGTAGCCGAATTGGGGCAGAACGAGTGTGTGTGCGGGGGAAAGACAGAGCGGGAGCAGTTGGATGCGCAGCGAATGGGTGTGCGAGATCGACAGAGTGGAGCAGTTGGATGCTGCGACACGAGATGATTACTGGTGCGGGATCGGATAGCGATACTGTCCGGACGGGGAGAGGTGGATGCAGTTGGATGCTCGACCGTTGTTGAGAGAAAACAGTGATGACGTGCAGTTGGATGCTTTGCGAGATGCTTATGATCGGTACTGGCGGAACGAGCAGTTGGATGCGTCTTCCTCGTCTTCGAAGGGGTTGTGCAGTTGGATGCGATCGTTCTCGGACCGACGTCTTTCGACAACGACGTCGGCTTGATGGGAGGCGGTCTCACCACCGCGTAACGTCCTCGACCTCACCGAAAACGCTCTCCTTGACCTCCTCCACCGCAGCGCCGATCTCGACCGGGTCCCTCTTGTACAGCTCGCCCAGCACCTCCCGCAAGAAGCTTCCAACAGACTGATTGATCTGTTCGAACTCCAACAAGAACCCATCGTGACCATCGGTGCTCTTAACACTGACAAACCGGCTGCCCTCGACCAGCTTGTGTATCAAGACCTGTTCGGGCGGGGCGAACAGGCCGTCGCTCTCGATGCTAACGACCAACACTGCCGGTGCGTCTGGTTTTCCGGGGATCGACGGCGCAGAGAGGAAGGAAAGAACGTTCATCAACGCCTCGTCTTCCTCGTCCGCAGTCTCTGGCTTGACACCCGCGGACCGAGAAAGAGGAGAGAGCGACCACCCCCACCGATCACGCGCCACATCGTGCGAGTCCATCTTGCGCGTGAGATGGATGTAGCAGTTGGCATCAAAGCGGTTGACAAACTTGTCGCCTTGGTAGCGCAGGTAGGATTGGGCCGAAAAGATCTGCGGTGCGGTGGACGGGCTGAAGGGTTCGATGAGACGGGTTGCGGGCGCAGAGGCGGGCGGGAGAGAGGTGGTGGGGACCACGGCTTCGTCGGATAACTCGGTTGGCGGATGCGGGGTCGAGGGAACTGGTGGTGTCGTCGCTGTAGGCGAAAGGGAGGGTCCGTTTGCTGAAGCGCCGTTGCTGTTGGTGTCGGCGGTTGCACCAAAGTAGCCATTGCGGGTGGTGCCATTGGGCGAAGTGTTGCTGCCATATGGCCTGACGCGGGGTGAGAGGTTGCCCTCGTTGTGCGCTGCGGCTGCGTCTTCTGCGATCGATGACCTTCTCTGTTCATCCGCGCGCTTGGCCGTCTCCTCCTCCTTCTTGCCCGGCAAGCCCTGTTGTGGTGCAGCGCCTCCGCCCTTGAGTGCTTTGCCCACCCTCCTTCCGAATCTCGACTCGAAGCTGTCCCTCGACCTGTACGTCAATAGCGCAGCCATGCGTGCGGCGCTCAGCCCGTTTCGTGGAGGCTGGCCGGGCTCGTAGTAGCCATGCTTAAAGAGTGGGTCCGAATAGATGCTTTGACGTTGAGCCTCGGCCCATGAGATGCACCATGCCGAATGTCTTGCTGACGTCGCAAGCGGGACAATAGCTTGAATGTACCGTTGCGTGGACGACGCCTGCCCGGGGTAGCGGGTGGGAAACACGAGCGGCCACTCGAGCACCGCCATTCCACCCATACTGCCGCCGACTACCGCTGCAATGCTTTCGACGCCCAAATATTCGAGGACTAGCTTCTGAATCCTCACGTCGTCCCTCACGGTCGTAGCTGGGAACTCGGGGCCCCACCAACCCTCGCCTTTCCACTCCATCTTGCTCCTCGCCAACGCCTCTGCAACCCCCGTCTGCGTCGCTTCCGCCCATCCGCTCTCTCCACCTGCCTGGGTACAGCTGCTCGCACTCCCATATGGACTGCCCAACACGTTGCAGCAAAGGACGAAGAAGCGCGAGTAGTCAAAGACCTTATCTTTGCCCAGTAGGGGGCCCCACCAGTCCTCTACGTCGGCGGAACCCGTCAGCGCATGGCATACGACGAGCGCATTGTCTTTTGTGGCAGCGAGTGTGCCCCACGTCTTGAACGCGACGGGCACATTGGTGAGCTCGACTCCGGACTCGAGGGTGAAGCGTGGGAAGAGAAGGTATCGTTGGCGCCCCGCGAGCAGGCTCGACTGCGGTGAGGTCGGACCTGGGATCTCGATGGGCGAAGGGAGGCGGTGATCGTTCTCCGCCATCGTTGCGTTGTGCCTACAGCGATTGTGTTGCAGTGGCAAGCTGGTTGGTGAGAAGGATGGAAGGGAGAAGGAAGAAGTGCCCAAGGGTCAGATTGGAAGAAACGTGCACCCGCAAAAGCCGGCTACACAAACCTTTGTGTCGGACGGCGGACTTCTTTGTGACTCAGTCTGTGCGCCGTTGTGCGTAAAAGCACGACATTTTGGTCTGCGCTGTACGGTCCCCATCAAACCGGTCTAACACTTTGAGCAAAGCTGTTAGACCGAAGTGCGGACCCGCTTGCACGTGTTGAAAGGTCGCAGCGGCTGCGGGTGGTGACCTTTGCGAGGCTCTCGAGCCGCAACCAGAATTCATGCTCCACAATCCTCATCTGGATCCGCATACACATCACTTACATCCTCCTCCTCACCATCATCCATCCACGATGTCGGCCCGCAATCCATCACGCGAGACCGTGGCCGCTCCAGGCTCGCCCACCCTCTCGTCGACCTCGCACGCATCCAACGCCTCGACCACAGCCACGGTCATCGACAGCCAACCCAACCCGAAAAGTCTAGTCAACCTCGGCAAACAGCTCAAGTACCTCTCCATCGGCCTTGTGCTCACCCTCTACTTCCAGGTATACCAACATCTGTCGGACGCGCTATCGCTAGGCATCCTCTCATCATTCCCAGCCAAGCTTGCGCTGCTATCCGCGGTGCTGTTGATTGGGACGGTGCTTATTTTCGGGTACATCATCCTCCTCCCTGCGCGAGGGTACACCGTCAACTACATGGACTGGCGCGGGGATGCGCATTTGGGGAGCGCCATCCCCATCTTGACGGCATGCATTATCTTTGGATGGGTGACCTTGCTGTTCACGCTAAGCCCGGTGGGTGCGCCCGCACCGCCCGCGCAGAGCATCCAACAGCGTTTGAGCCAGGCAGCGGCGTACACAGGTTGGGACAGCCTGCAGAGCAAGATCCAGTCCATTCCGGCAAACATCCTCCCTCAGTCCTCCACCTCGAGTGGCGGCTGGAACAAGATCACTTCGAGGCTGAGCGGGTCGAACGCCGACAAGAGCTGGGACACGATCGCCTCCTACCTCTCCCTCTCCCCCCGAGCGAACTCCAATCTGCAGCAATACTTCCTCCAGCTCAGCGCACGCGCGGACGACTGGGCCGCGCGCAACATCAAAGTCATCGGCTGGACAGGCGCGCTGTTGGGAAGCATCGGCACGTACCTCTTCGTCTTTGGAGCGGTGGGCCTCGTTGGGTTTGTCGCCCCGGATAACAGGGCGAACAAGAGCAAGACGTTTTAGCGGACGAGAAGGGGCGACGCAATGTACACTTTGTTCATCAACTCCAGTTTGCACAAGAGCGAGTGTTCAGATGACTGTGATGCCGGTGCCCAGGCTGCTACTATCGGAATGAGGTGCAGAGGCTTGATCCGTGAGCTTTGACTGGGGAGGGGCGCTCTGAGATGGAGATGAGGATGGTGAAGAGGACACACACTCGGACGACGATATCGAAGTCGATTCCAGCCGGCATGAGCCCGTGAGCTCGGTTTCACTTTGCTTCGATGTCGAGCTCAACGGTGCAAACAGCAAGACGATCATCTGACTTCTCATCGGGCCGCGAGCTCTATCCACACCCTGCTCAATCGCCAGCTCGGTGTCTAGATCCACACCGAGACGACGGCGATGAAGATCACTTCTCAGACACACGCCGAAGCACCGACCAAAGAGAATGTGACACAAAGTGACTCCGATGACATCGCCTCAAAGGTACAAATACACAACCGCTACTTCTCCCTCGTCACCGCGGGCAGACCATCATCCACACTGCCCCCTTGCCCCTTACTCCTCGTCTGCCAACCCTTCTTGAGCTGACCGACGGCTTTCTTGCCCATCTTCTGCGTGAAGCTCTCCACGTTCTCGCCCATCGCCTTTCTGCGTCTGCGCTTCATGCGCTGCCTGAATTGACGCTCGATGAACTGGAAGATGATGGCGTCGATCGCGCCTTGGGCGAAGATGGTCCAGCGCGAGAGCGAGTGGAGCCAGTCGTGCGCCCTTCGCACCGACAGAGCGGGGTCGGCGAGGTCGACCGCCAGTCTTGCAATCGAGAAGGAGAAGAGGATGCAGTATGCAGCGGGGTACAGCAGGAGCAGGAGAGACGCCTGTCGGTTGAGCGTAGACCCGATCGAGTCGACGCCGTTCTCATCCGCCGACGAGCTGGACGAGGTGCCCGTGTTGACGCCTGTGTCGTCCCGCGCACCGCCGTTGGGGTGGACGCTGCCGCTCGAGTGGCGGGCGCCGCGCCAATTGCGTGCGAGCTTGTGGCTCGAATGGTGCCGACCCGACCCACCAGCGGTGACATTCATCCCCCACTTCCAGTCGTCCCCGAGCGACTGCTCAAACGCCTCTTTGCTAGGCATGTCGACCATCACCTCGCCGGGCAGGATCTGTACCGCACTGCCGCGACGCTCAGAGGCGAACTCGCCCCCACCACCCTGGCGTGCGCGCGTCATGTCGCCCTCGTCCATCGCCAGGATGTCGGCCATGCGCGGGTACTTGCGAGCGGCGGTGGGGGGTGCACGCGAATGCTTGAGGTGCTCGACGGGAGGCGAGATCATCTCAAAGTCGCCTGCGTACTTGCGTGGACGCATGCTTTGGAACTCGAGATCGTCCTCGTCCTCATCGTCGGTATCGCCAGCAACGTAGCGCGGATCGCCAGCGGATGCGCGACGCTCGTCTCGTAACCTAGCGGTGGAGATCGAGTTGGCATCGTTGCCGGTAGAGCTTGCCCCGGCCGTGAACGGTCGTTTGGATGTCGTCGGACTGACTTTGGACGAGTCGCCCGAGCCTCTTGCGAACGAGCCGTTGAGGGGCGCAGACGAGCCTCGGTTGGAGATCGACGACGGGCCGTTGCCTGCTGTGTAGGACGAGTCTGAGGGCGAGTGCTGGCTAAGGCTGCCAGCGTCGTCACGGGATGCGTTGGCTTTCTCGATGTCGAGATCGCTCGGCGCAGCACGATGCGGAGCCATGCTGTAGTTGGGGTCCAGCAGTCCGTAGGATGCCAATGGCGCTGTTGTCGCCGACGCATCTTGGCCCATGCTATAGTTGTTGAACATGCTCGACAGGCCGGGGTCCGCCTTGCTGTCTAGCGCGTCCGGATCCGAGCCGTTGCGACGAGAAGCAGCATCGACGCTGCCGTCCTTGTCGACGAAGGACGACGAACGTCTGCGCGCTGATGCGGCGTTGTAATCGTGCTTGTTGAGCACCGGTGGCGAGATGCGGCTGGCAGAAGACGTCTTTCTGCTGTTGGCTGCTGCTGACGAGGAACCAGAGAGGCCCTTGATGGTGGGACTAGATCCCTGCTCGGCTGCATCGGCACCGGCTGCGGACGTCAGGAGGGGCAGGTCATTGGGCTGTTGCGACGGCTGGATGGTGTCGAGGCCGTACTGCTTGGACTGCGCTCCCTGCTGTGCGTGTGACCTGCGACGGCTGTGGCTGATGGAAGAGGAGTTGTTGGCTTTGCTGAACAGATTCGTCCTTCTGAGGAAGAAGAAGAGGTGGGTGTAAAGGCAAAGGATGACAATGAACACGATGGCTCGAGGCACAAACTGGAAGATGGCCGAGAACAAGAAGCTGGTGGTCAAAGCACAGTAGCCACCTCGAAACCCAAAGCCGCCGACACCGAATGGGATGGCGTTGATGACGAACGAAACGAGCCAGAAGCCCGGCCAGAGCCAGCGTACACGCCTTTCTACGGTGAGAGTGAAGCTGGAGAGGGGGTGGACCAAGATCATGTAGGTGACGATGGCAATGGACAAGTTCCATAGATGCTGAGAGAAGATGGAGCTGACGAGGATGTAGCCGAGGAAACTGCAAGGAGCGTCGTGCTGTACGAGATTGATCTCGCCGATAAGACAAGCGGTGGTGATGATGACTGTGATGGAGGTGACGAGATCGCTGGTGGCAAGGCCGAGAATGAGCGAGTGACGCAGCTTGCGACTTCTCCTGTTGATGATGTAGGGAACAATGATGGCGATGCAGCCGACTAGGGAGAGACAGCAGATTACCATGTCGACATTGTTGCCGGTGGTTCCGACGCTTTCGCGATGAAAAGTGTCGGTCTCATTGCTGACGCGGACCGAGGGATCTTGGAGGAGTGAGCGCCAGTAGTCGGCTTTGTGAAGATTGAGTTCACTCATGGCTGCGAGATGAGCAGCGCGAGCGAAGCGCGATGGTGGGCGAAGAACCAAGCAGAGCAGGTGGTGGAGTTGGAATTGAGAGCCGCTTGGGACTCTATACGAGGCGAAGGGCGGACAGCGTCGAAGTTGCGGAAGAGATCATGTAAAGCAATTCTTGTTGTTGTTCCTGGACGGAGGCAATGCGATGCCGGCTCTGGCTGACTAGAGAGGAGCTGGAGCAATGGGGGTTCGGTCTCAGAATCGGTGCAGCATCGAGCCAGGAGCGATGAGATGATCGGAAATGATCAAACTGGCTGATGAGGAGGGCAGCTGCGGGGCGCGCAGGCAATGAAGGCAAATGATGCCAAGCAGCGCCAACAGAAGAGATCCGATGAGAATGAGGCTGAGAAGAGAATGGCGACGGTCTGTCGACGGTGGTAATGAGGGTGGCGCCGGTCTATTGTAGATGCGTGGCTGAGTCGTGGTGCGTGATGTAGATGGAAGACTGGCAAATGAGCGGTGACAAAGGGACGATATGACGGCGACAGTCTCGTAAGCCGATATTCGTCGTCGTCGTCGTCGTCGTCGTCGTCGTCGTCGTTGGTGTATGCTACGTCGGACTGCGGAGGATGAAGGTGTGGACGGACGAGGGGGAGGAGGAGGACGATGATGAGCAACAGAGGAGGCAACAGCAGACAGTCGGCTGAGAGGCGAGAGTGAGAGAGAGAGCCAAGCGCTGTGACTTGGAAAAGCAACCAAACTCCGGTTTGCGCTAATTGAAAAGAGAGACAGAGGGCGCGAGAACAGTCAAAAGGGCAAACACACGACTCACCATTCGCACCCTCGGTTGCCGCTCAGTCAGCTCGAAAGTCAACGCTGTTGCTCCGCTGTCACGCTTCCATTATTCTTTTTAATTTTCATTTCAATCCTCCCCTCCTGTGTCCAACAGATTTGAATTTCACGCTAAGAACTCAAATTCGTTTTTCTCAAGAAATTGGCAGAGTCGAAGTTGTAAGTACACACGGCAAAGTCACGACGAGCCAAAGCCGATACGAGCTCGTCCATCCTCGGCAGCCAGCCACCGAGGTCGTCGGAGGACATCCGTCTCGACCATGTGATGGATGCTCGCCTTATTCAGCGCATGATGCTGAGCTGACTTTCACTTCGTTGTGTGTGTTCAGCAGAGCAATCAACGGCTTGCTGAGAGAGGATAGCACGGACGCGAGGAGTACTTTCGACTCTTGCTCTTCGGCAAGGAGGCGATGGCAGCTGTCCTTTTTCTTTCAACAGGCTTTGACGCCACTGTCATCGAGATTCGACGGATTGTCACCGGCTATCCCGACAGATATCGGAGGCATGCGCTTCCAGCTGCAGGTACGCGGCACTTACACTTCTCTGGTGCCTTGCTTGTATGCGTGAGAGAGCATGTCGGGCCGTGTCTCGTTAATTTGCTGCAAAAGCGAGGCGAGCCCGAGCGGGAAAGCGAGAGCCGGCTGAGAGTCGAGCAGCCAAACACTGGAAATTGCCTTCAGACGCCGGCATGCATCTCAACCAAATCTCGTCTTGGACCTTTTGTTTGCTGCTTCGATCGACTTCAAGCCCCCATTTGGAGTTGTGTTCGGCACCCAAATGCACCGAGCTCACAATGAGCAGAACGAGGCTACAATACGATGCATCGCCGGTCGCATCTCCTTCCGCGGATCTTGACGGTGCAGACAATGGCGGACTGCTCAGAACGGAGGAGGAGTTGGAATGCTTTCTGACACAATTTATCCACCACTGAGGCTTGCTTAGCAGAAGACGGCGTGCCTGGCTCAATGCTCTTCCCTTGTCTCAGGCTGGCTACACCAGTCAAAAGCCGCCGATGCTGCTGCTGCAGCTTGTAGCGCCACCAAACTTGTCGACCACCGAAGAGCCGCCGTCCTTGTCTCAGTTTGCCGCGCTTACGTGCATCGAGGCCTTCGCAAAACGCTTTGTCGTCACTCAGAAGAGCAAGCAGGTTCGCATCGTGCCCAACCCGTACTTTCTTGCTATTCGAGATACCACCCCTCCTTGCCTGGTACTGGCCGGATCGACGAGTTGAGCGACCCCTTGCTGATCTGATGTGCAGAGCTGGATCCCTTTCGTTCGCTGCAGGCACCGTACACTTTCCGTCTCCGATGTCGACTTGTCATCAGGCACCACATGCATCGCTGTAAGCAGCCTTGCCTAGCGAGACAGGGAGCATCGTTCACCAGCATGTTCGACCGGAAGCAGTCTGCTAGTCCAAGACGACGAGGTCTTAGTCGTAGGGAAAACCCTGCTAAGCGAGACCACTTTCAGTAAGGGGGGGAGAGCGGAGTTGATTTTCTTGTTTTTTTTCTTTTCCTTCTCCCCCTTCCTCTCTGTTCCTGCTTTGCAGCTCTCTCGTTGTTCTCACTTTAATCTTGAGTGGTCGATCGTCGGTCGGGAAAAGGTTCTTTTCAACGCCCGCTTCGACACACAGCCATTCATGCGATCGCTCACCGGCGTGTAACAAACATCTCGATGCCAACGGGCAACAGGCTATCTCCGGCATCACATGGTCAAATGCGAGCGTGATGTGCTCCAGCCTTCTCGCAGTGGGATGACCAAAGCCAAGTGGGACGCCGATTCGACTCACGACGGATGCATGTCTTGTTTGGCGAGAGTCTGACAAAGGCAAAGCAGGAATTTCTTATTTCCGTGTCCACAGCGTGACTACGACGACGCCTCCGTCACAAGTGTGTTCGACTCCACACCGTGTTGACCGGCATGTTCGAGGCTCCTAACATGGTCTAGGCCACACGTACGCATCGCCCTTGCATCTACCTCGTCATGCTCGGCAGCCTTGGTCGTGTGCGAGTGGGATTGGCAATGACGGCCAACCATGGAGCCCCTTGCCTGCCCCCGCGTGGCAACGACAACAATCGTCTCGCTACCGACCCTTGAGCTGCAAGCGGCTAAGCGAGCCAGCCTAGCGAGCGGTCAAGGCCTCAACGTGGGAGTGCCGTCAAGGCGCGGGAAAGGGTCTCAGGTTCGCTTACAGCCGTCGTTTGAACCTGTGTGAAGGCGAGTCGGATTTTGGAGGTTGCCTCGTTAGATCTCGGTCTAACACCCTCAGAATTGGCGGCAGGCCTTGCTGCTCATCCAGAAGCTCTGCAAGACACCGACTTGGCGTCCAACGAGATCGAATCAGTGGTACTGAAGGCTAGATTACATCGTCAGAGCTTTCCAGCTGCCCTGTCTCAGCAACAGCGGTAGCTGCATCGCCGGGAGCCTCGGCGGTGACCTCGGCGACTCGACCGTCTGATGGAGGCTCGTCCAGGGAGAGCACCGGTCCAGCCGCAACGCCCTCGAGGGTATCTGTGTCGGCTGCTGCCGGCGAGACGTCCTGCGTCGTCGCTTGATCACTCAAGGGCTGTCCTGAGGCATCTCTTTCACCCGAATTTGCGAGCTGAGCCAATGAAGGACCCTCCGCCGTTCCCGACTCGAGTGCCGATTCCTGAGGCGCTGCCTGTGTCGACCCAGCGGCATCGGCTGTTTCACCTGCACCAATCGGAATGCTGCCGTCGTTGGGTTCCCCTTTGATCACAATGTGTGACGGCAAGCCCTCTTGCGCTGTGTCGGTTGCCTCTTCTGGTGGGAGCGTGCCCTCAATCGGCTCGTCCTTCACCGTCACCGGCGGTGCCGCCATACTGTCTTGCTCTTGCTCTTCCTTCTTCACCATATCGTTTGCTGTCTCATTCATCGGCTTCTCCGCGAGAACCAACAGCTGCGGATTGTGCTGCACCAAGCTCTTGCTCAGCAAGACCGCATCGATCCGCTCAAACAGCCTCTCTTCTTCCTTACTCATCTCCCTTTCCTCCTTCCCCTTCTTGTCTTCTGACATCTTCCCTCGCAAGGGCCCCACCTCCCTCGCGAAGGCCCTCATCATCTCCACCCTCACCATCTGAGCAGCCTGGTCCAACGACTGCGCCTTCACCCTGATCGCCGCCATCTGTCTCTCCGCCAATATCTTTTTTGTCTTTTCGTCCCGTGCCGGTGCGCCCTCGTCCCCGTACTCGAGCACGTCCAGCGCCGCGCTGAGCTGCAAGCTTGCAAAGAAGAAGTTGACGAACAGCGAATGTGACAGCTGCCGTACGTCGAACACCGTCGTGTTGGGCAGCAGGATCGTCATCCACGTCGGATACTCTGGCGAAATCAGCAGACACACCTCGAACGCGAGCAACGAAAACAGGCATACCAATCGCCAGAACGAGATCCCATCCGACCGAGTCCCACTACTACTGAAGTATCCGAACAGCGCATACATGGCGGGGTTGATCGTATAGAATGCAACGAGGCTCATGAGACCGCGACGCATGTAGTCACGCGCCGACTCGCAGTCCTTCCATTCGGAAATCGTTGGGCCGAATCGGTCGTATGCGAAACGTTTGACGGGTTCAGAGAGGGTGTCGTGCGCCCGACGGAGGTGAATGAAGAATGCTTCGCCGGACTCGCCAACTTTGTCCGGGTGATAGCGGCGCGCCAGGGCTCGGAACGAGCGACGAATGCCTTCCGAGTCGACGTCGAGGGGCAGCCCGAGAAGCTGGTAGTAGTTCGGTTGGGCGGTGGATGCGCATTGAAAGAGCTGGTAGAAGAGCGTGCCGATGATGACGGCGGTACGGGCGAGTTGGACGTGATTGTTGCGCGTGCGGGGCGTCGAGGGCGGAGTGAGGATTTGGACCGAGTAGCAGCCGTTAAGCAGGAGTTGCGAGCCGAGCGAGGGCAGCCACCACCACGTGAGCAGCGAGCCGAACTGCAGCAGGTCCGCTTTCATGGTGATCACAGCATGGACGTGGCCGGGCTCGGATGATGACGGCGATTTCTGACTGCTTCTGAAGCGTCCGATAAGCAGAAAGGTTCTGGCCGTGATGGTGATGGTGTTGGTGTCGGTGTTGGTGTCGGTGCACAGAGTAACCTGTCAAGGGTCCTGGTGTCACTTTCCGCTCAAACACCGCAATTAGGTAAGCGTGACAACGCCTCCATTCTCACCCGCCAAAAATTTCGCCGGCACGGCCTTAGATTTTTCTTCTGGCTTGCAAAGAAGAAAGGTTTCAGGGTCCTCCTCCTCGCTACCTTCTTTGAAGCCTTTCTTACCACTGACCTGTGTTTCTCGCCCAGACACATCAGAGAAAGAACGTCAACATGCCGCCGAAACGCAAAGCCGGCCCCTCCTCGGCGGGCAGCAGCAAGCCCGCTGCCAAAAAGCCGTCCAAGGGCAGACAGCAGCAGCAACCCCGTCGACCCAAGCTCGCCCAGCAGCTCGACATGTACATCCGCCGTTCTGACGACGAAGAGTCAGACGACGAGCCTGCACCATCCACATCCAAAGCGAAGATCAGCACCAATGCGGTAGCGCAAGAGCCGGACTACGAGCCAGAATCGGACGAAGCATCGCACGTCTCTTCCTCCGGCGAAGAGGACAGCGAAGACGAAGACGACGGAGCTGTCAAGGTCAAGACGGTCTCAGCGGCCAATTTGTCCTTCCTCTCGGGGCTGGATCGGGATAAGGCGATCAATCTGTCGCAGAAGGATGCAAAGCAAAAGTCGAAAGAGCTAAAGCGATCGGACAGGAAAGAATTCGAGGAGACGAGGAGGCAGGTCGCTGCCGACAAGAAAGCCAAGCTCGTAGCGCCGCCTTCCGAGGACGAGAACGACGATGAGGACGACTTTTCGGACGACAGCCTGGAAGAGGAGGAGGAGGAGGTCGAGCTTGGGCGCAAGGGCGAGAAGCAGAACTATCAGGAGTACAGCGACGTTTCCGAAGGTGAAGAGGTGGACGCTTCGTCGGACGAGGAGCCTGCCGCGCCGATCAAGGTTACCAGCAAGAACACGAAGAAGGCGACAGCGGACGACGGGGACGCGGAAGCAAGCTACCTGGCCAGGTTGGGCAAGAGAAAAGCGAGAGAGCAATACGAGGATGAGCAGGAGCGCAAGAAGCGCGTCAACGCCAAGCTGCCCGTTCGCAAGCTTGACGGCGACGTATCCGACGAGCCTGACAGCAGTGATGAGGATCTTGATGACCTCGATGACGATGACAAGGACGAAGGGATGGATGACGACGATGATGCGGAAGACTACAGGCAAGACAGCGAGCCAGAAGGCCTCCTTTCCTCCGATGAAGATGTCCACCCAGCCTCCAGTCGAGCCATCCACGCTCCTCTCCCGCGCGCCGCCCGGCCCACCGACGACTCGGACGACGAGCCCTCCGCCACCACCTCCGCCCCTACTGCCCCACTCTCATCCATCACCCATTCCTCGCGCTTCAACCTCACCGCACCGTACGAGATCCTCCTTACCTCGCATACCTGCCGTCTTCCACCCACCCCACCTACCAGCAACCGCAAAGCGACCCTCGCATACAGGACCACCCTCGCCAACGCACAAAAGCAGACGCTCCTTCTGGCGCGCAACCAGATCGCCTCGTTGGCCTCTCAGATCGTCGCCGACCCGGAAGTCAACCTCGGTCTCCTCCGTCGTCTCGCGGTCTTTGCAGCACCAACTATCTCTGCGCCACCGGAAAAGATCCCCGAGATTCGCGCGGAGCAAGCCGAGGCCAAAGCTGCTGGCAACGCCGCAGCTGCTCGACCAGTTAAGGTGGAAGTGGCACCGGCAATTCGGCAGCTAGCAATGCTATCGATGCTTGCTGTGTTCGTCGACATCCTGCCCGGGTACAGGATCAGGAGTCTGAGTGAGAAGGAGCAGGAGGAGAAGGTGGGGCAGGACGTAGCTCGCAGACGAGAGTTCGAAGCTGGGCTGGTGGGCGTCTATCGAGAATTCCTCGAGCTGTGCGAGGCCGAGCTCAAAGCTGCTTCCGCCCTTCTTGCTGGTCAGGAACCTGAAAAGGGGAAGAAGAAGCCCGCGCCAGGCGTCGGGAAGCTCGAAAAGCCCGCTGTGAAGGTGTTCACTACCCTCGCTACGCGGGCGGTGCACTTCAACTTCCGCACCAACATCCTCGGTGTTGTCGTTGCGCGCATGTCACGACGTCAGTGGGGGCCCGACGAGGAGGCGTGTTTCGAAGCCATCCAATCTGTCATCTTGTCGGATCTGACGGGCGAGGTGTCGCTAGAGGTCGTCCGATTGGTGCACCGCATGACCAAGGAGCGGCGGTACAAGGTCAACTCGCGCGTGCTCGATCTGCTGTTGTCTCTGCGACTGCGCGACGAGCTCGGCAATAAGCGGTCCTCGACTACCGCTTCGACCGACCCAGAAGCGGAAGCGGCCAAGGAGCGGGCGGATTACGAGGCGCGCCGAGCCCTGATGAAAGCACGCGAAGGCAAGAAGGGCGGCGGTAAAGGGGCCAAGTCCAAAGACGTACGCAAGGGGCTTGCGACGCATCTCAGTAAGAAACAGGTCAAGAAGCAGAAGGAGCTCAAGGCGATCGAGGACGAGATGAAGGAGGCTGAAGCCACTGTTGACCTCGAGGAAAGAGAGAGGAACCAGACCGAGACGTTGAAGTTGGTCTTTGTGCTTTACTTCACCGTGCTGAAGCGCGAGGTGGGAAGTGTTGGGTTGGGCGTGTTGGAGAGCACGTTGCGCGGATTGAGCATGTACGCTCACCGGGTCAACGTGGACTTCTTCCGAGACCTGCTCGCGGTCTTGCGTCAGCATGTGGCTATCAATGCGCGTCTGCTCGAGGAAGCCGACCAGGCCGGGCTGGCGCCCACGGAGGAAGACTCAGACTCCGAAGCCGAAGGCGACGAAGGCGACAACGTCCTTCTCGACCAAACCACCCTCACCCGCACGCTGCGCCACATCATCCTCGCACTCAAAACCACCTTCGATCTCTTCCTTGGCCAGGTGGAGGGTACGTTGCTCAATCTCGACCTCACGGACCTCCTCTCGCACTTCTACTACGTGCTCTTCTACCTGCCCTTCGTCAACGAGTCGCACCTGATCGCTGGGGCGAATGTGGTGGATCTGGCGCTGGACACGCTCCATGCGATCCTGATTCGATCCCGCACGCGATTCGCGCCGACGATTCTCGCTGCGTTCGCGAAGCGACTGGCCATCATCTCGTTGCATTTGCCCGCGACGAGCGCGTCAGGACCGAGGAAGGTGCTGGGCTTGATCTCGCATTTGCTCACTAAGCAGAGCACGAGCGCGTCTGCAGACAGCCAGCTCGCGCTGCTCGACCTCGAGGATCGCAGCAGGAACGGATCCTACCAGGCAACAGGCAAGAACCTCAACACGAGCGCGGTGCTCGAGAGCGGCCAGACGATCCTGTGGGAGCTGTCGATGCTGACCAAGATGTCGAACGAGGAGGTGAGCGCCGAGGCCGAGCGCGTGTGGGCTTTGAAGGATTCCAACCAGTCCTGATCGCTGGGAGAGCCAAGCTTGTGATGCTCGCCATTGCAATCTTGGATCAGCGCCAAATTTATCAGAGCGAGTGTGTTCGCGAAGCCGAAGGGTGTGCAGAGGGTGTGTGCGCTTGACTGAGTCAGACACTTGAATCGCCGTTGCTCCAGATGCTGCAGCTTGATATCCCTGCGACTTGCTCAAGCTCGAGTAACACACAAGGCCAGTGAAGAACGCAAAGCAAAAAGTGTCCATGAATTGCACCTATCAAACGAACCCCGAGCCCTACTGGAACGTCTGCAGCGTGAACGGGCAAGCGATGTTGCCCAGCTGTGTGTTGGTCTCCTTCCTCCCGATCAGACCCTGGACGCTCATGCCCAACCTCAGCGCCAGGTTCAACGTCGGTCTTGTCTGTCCCGGGTAGTTCGGCCCACAACCCTGGTAGAAATCCTGCCAGGTCTGGTCGCCCGACGTATTCAAGCTGACGTAGCTGAAGTCGACAGGGAATTGAAACTCCGTGTTTCCCTTCGCCTTGAACGTGATCGAATCAAGATGACCCTTGCCCACCTTCATGTAGGTGTTGAGGTCGGTCACTTCGAGTGTGAGGTCGGTGGCATGGGTAGGGATCCAGGCGGCGCGATTCGATGCACGCAGGTTGAAACCCATGGTCATGCTGAAGTTCGTGGGCGAGTGATTGACGCGCATGCTCGCGCCATTGGGCAGTGCCACCACCGGGTTGGTCGAGAGGGTCGCAAAGGTCGGCACGCGTGGGATCACGAAGAAGAGCATCACGCCAAGACCGAGTAGCACGAAGAATGCGATGAACACCGCCAAGCGCGGCGAGAGCCACCCCCACAGATGGTCGTCACCGGACACCCACAGCTGGCACTTGCGCTTGCGGTTGCCGCGCTTCTTGCGGCGTTTCGATGAGCGAGTCATGTCACGCAACTCTTCTTTAGTGTACTCGTTGCCCAGCGCAGGGACTGTGATGAGCTCGATACCTGTGGTGGCGTCGGCATTGCGTGGACCCGTGCCGCTGATGGTGTTGTTGTTGTAGCCCGCAGACGAGAACTGGCTGTTGCGGTTGCCGGCCGCGTTGGCTTGCTGCTGGATAATGGAGCGGCGGGGATCGGCATTGCGCACGTCGAAACCAAAGGCTTCCGAGGGGAGGAGCGACTTGCGGTTGCCAGGGATGTCCGAGTAGGGCGTCTCGACGAGCGAGGGCTTGCTGGCGTCCCAGTAGGCATCGTTCTGACTAGCGAAGCCGGAGGTGGAAGATCGATGAGGCTGGGGCCGGGTCATGTTGAAATCGTCGTAGACGTTCCAGTCTTCATCGTCGTCGTCTTCCTCGTCATGATCTTCGCCGGGTGCAGGTGCGTAGCCGCGCGAGTTGGTATTGCGTGCATCGTAGGCACCAGCTCCGGCTCCCACAGCGGGCTGCGAAGCTGTGTAGGGCGAGTCGATGGACGCTCGAACGGGATAGTCAAAGTCGTTGTTTGTGGTGGTGTGCTGAGTGGTGGGGTTGGCGCCATACGCATCGGCTGCTGAAGCGTAGTGATATGGGCCGGACATGGTGCCGACAAGAGCAGTACTGCGGCGTGCTCGAGATGCGCCGTTTGTCTCGAATGCAGTGGTAGGGAAGCAAGAAAGAGAGAAGTGTGATCCTATGGTGATGGCCAGGAAGCAAAGCGTTGGCTGCTCAAGAGCAAAGAAGAGGCGCAAGCCAAAGGGGCGCTTGCACCGCTGAAATCCATCTGTCACGCCAGGCTGCATGTGATTTTGCCAAGTCGACGCTTCTCCGGCGCGCTTCACTCTGAAATTGTCACATCGTGCTGTGCTGTGCTGTGATCCAAATGATCTGAGTCCAACACCTTTCAAATCTCGAATCTTGGACCCTTGTTGTTGAAACACACTCGTGTGCTGCCTTCATCTTGAGGACGTGCCAAGATGATCGCTTCGTTGACATCTGAGCTTGAAAGACTCTCACAGCTAGTAGCTCATTTCACTCGTGCTGCTCTGGACAAAGCTCGTTCATTCGACTGTAGACGTCTTGAGAATAGATCGCTGTTGGCCATCACGAGCTCTCCTCCTTGCCCTTCTGGCTCGCCTTAAACTTCTGCAACAGCAAAACGTTTGGCGGTGGCGGAGCGTCGACGTAGCCGGGAGCTAGCGCAGGCGCAGTGAACGGATCCTTGCCCGCGCTCCCGCTTCCACTGCCCTTTCTGCTCGATAAGCCGCTAGCACCGCTACCTTTCCTGCTGGAGGATCCAGACGACGGCAGCGATGGCATGGGAGAAGCGTCGCGCGAGCCGTTACGGCTGCCGGACGACGAGTAGGAAGGCGTGAGTCGACCGCGGCAGGGTACCTTCGGTGAGGGCAGATCCGGGCTCGAGATCGTCGTGAGCGAGCGAGACCGCGATGAGCTTCGACTGCGAGCGGCATCCATGGCAGGTTCGGCTGGCGATCGTGGCAGCGAGCCGCTCCGGAAGTGAAGAGCTCTGTTGCTGCCTGCCATCAGGCCTGGCTCCATGTGAGGCAGCGACGGGCTGTGCGCCAGGTGTTTACCGCCGCGACTTCCGTGTAGATGGAACGGGGACGAGTCGGTGTTGAAAGGCGACATGTTGTCGCTACCCGGGCCCTTTGTTGATGTTGCAGCATTGGTGCTGGCACTCGTCGTCCTTCCCAACAGCGCCGCGTACAGCCCGCCTGGCGTTACTTTCTCCCTCTCCTCCTCGCGCTCTTTCCTCGACTGCGTGTTGATCCCCGCCGTTGCCTGAGTCACCGTGTCTCTCCTCGCCTGCTGCCTCTGTAGCCACAAGAGATGCTCCAGTTCTGCAGGCGGTGCAACGTCTTCCCCTTCTGAGTCGCTCGACCATTGGTCCGCATCCTCCCATTCCTTCGGCCAGCCTGTCGGTCGCAACCTCGTCCTCGCTTTGGCGTTCCTGCCTCCGCGTCCACCGCGCCCCGCTTGACCCGCTGCTACTGTGCCACCGCGCCCGGCCACGATTGCGCGAAACACAGCTTTGCGGCGCCAGTCGTCCACGCCAGCCGATAGCGATGACTGCGTGACGCTGCACCGGAACCACGCTCGCAAAAGCACCATCGACACAGCTTGATGGTCGAATTGCGAGATACATCTCAGCGTCAGAGTCGAGCCCTCGTTCTGCGATGCAGCGCCTTTGGGCGAGAAAGCCACCGTGACGCTAGTAGGTGGCATCGTGTCCAGCGCAGGCAGCGCAGGATGCGGAGGGATCGGATGATTTGTATCCATCGCCACCCATTCGATAGAGCGCAACGACCGAACCTGTTCGGCTACCGGTAGAACCGCTTCTCCCGCTCGCGGCCTCTTGCGGTACAGATCGGCTCGCCAACCTTTGACCATCATCCAGTGCAGTCTCCACTTGCCTGTACTGCTCGAGCCCTTGGACGATTTCGCCGACTTGCCCGCCATAGCTCCGCCCCTGAGCACATACACCCAACCTTCGAAGTACGGCTCCAGGCAAGGAGCATCGGCGTCGGGTCCTGCATCTGCCGCATCCCTCCACGTCGACTTGAACATGCCCTGGTCGCTAGGAGCCGCCGAGCTCGATCGAATGGTCTCCCTCAGGCTGATCGGCGGGATGTAGACTCGTTCGGTCGGAACGGTCCATTGCAATTCCAGCAGCTCATACGGCCGAATGCGATAGGCAGCGACCGTCTTCCAATCTTGCAATTCGCATCCATTCGCCGACGAAAGCACGGCGAACTTGCCCGAGAGCGGATGTGTGGTATCCCCAGGCCCACGCGAGATCTCGTCCCTTCGAATGCCTGCGATGTACTGGCCTCTACTCTCTACGGACGCTGCCATCGACGATGGCGGTGAAGCTACGGCGTCCGAATCGGATGAGAACACATCGGAGGCTTTCTTGCGCAAAGGTGCCATTCCAGCCTGGGCCCTCACATTTCGGGGCTTGACCGTGGAGAATCCTTCCTCGTCATCATCGTTGGTCAGCCGCGGCGAGCCTCTGAGCATGTCCAACAAGTCCACTTGCGGTACCTCTCGACATTGACTCGACTCAGCCACCAGCCTTCGACTCGGAAACCTCGGCAATGACGATTGGCGCGACGGTGACGAGACCGTCTCTGGCAGTGGGGGCGTCTCTTCATGATTGTCCTTGCGTTGCTTTAGAATGTCAGCGGCGGTCACTGTCCTGCTTCGCGGTCGTGCGGGCGAAGAAACCGATTCTGGCCAAGCAAGGTCCAACGGCGCCGATGGCAGCGTTGGACTCGAAAGCGGAGAAACGCCGCTGCCAGAGGTCGATGGAACCGAGGGCGAAGGGCTGAACGGGTCGGATGACGGGGTCCCTTCGGCTTGCGTGCCCCATCTCATGACACCAGCATCGTCTTCGGCGGTGGTCAACAACGGGACCGACGACGGCGAGTCGAAGGATGCGAGCGAGTTGAAAGACTCGCTCGCGCCAGGTTGGGTGTAGATAGAGGCCGAGGCTGGTGCGCCAAGCAGTCCTGGATTGAGCCGAGCGGGTCGTCTTGGTGGTGTGGCGATGGTCGCACGCAAGGCGTTACGACCGGCGTCCATGTTCGAAGAAGACGGAGGCATGCTGGGCGAGAACGCAAAATCACTGCCGAAGGTGCTGCTCGATGCGATGGTAGGTGTCGAATTGAAGCTGTCTGTTTGTAGCCTCTCCCGCCTCGACGACTCTTCGTCCAGTACATCTTCGCGAAGCCCACCATGCTCGGCATGAGTGGCCAGACTCTCAGACTCTCGCCTAGCGCTCCACTGACTCAAACGCCTCCTCGCCTCGTCCTCTTCCGCCTTTGCATCCCTGTTTCCGGTAATCAGCGACGCACCGAGCTGAACTCCAAGCTCGTTGATTGCTTCCGAGGAATCAGAGACGCTTGTATCTGAAGCGGTAGTCGGGGGTAGATCGGACAGGGTGGAGGCAGGCGAGGCTGCCAGGTCCGAGTGGGGAGGAAGTGCCAGGTACGCGTCGTCGCTGGCTGAGCTGCTACCCTCGAGATTGTGAGGCAAAGGAGGAGGGAAGGTGCGTGAACGCGGAGATGCTGATTCATCGAACAGCAGTGGTTGAGTTTCGTCCGTGCTGAAGGCGCTATCCACAGCTGGCAGGGGCATTGGCGGAATCACCGAGGAGGTTGCCTTGCCGTTGCTGTCAGCGTGCAAAGTGTTGCTGCGCTCTCTGTTGCCGGCAACAGAGGCGGCGATCGCAGCGGTGACGTCGCTCAGATCCGGAGGTGGACACGAGAAGGACTTTGGATGCGCATAGGTCCGATACTTGACCACTTTGTCGTGACTCGAAACGGGGGCCATCTTGGCGGATGCCGACGCCGTCAACGCATCCTGGTAGAATCTGTAGCTCAGACTCGAGTCATGCTCTGGCATGCCAGCTTTGATGAGCGCTGCATCTTTGATCGAAGCGATGGTCTGAGTGGGCTCGACATGGATGCGCAGCCACACATCTTTGGGTACGATGCGGATGTAGACTGGTGTGCGCCGCGGCTGCGGGCGAGACCGGGTCTTTGAGCTTTCAAAAGAGTCGCTGTATGCTGCTGATTGAGTCGGCTGCCCTTTTGTCCATGAAGCCTGGAAAGGATTGGCGGGCTGGGAGTCAGAAGAGGCGGAGCTGGTAGACAGCGTCGTGGCAAGTGAGGGCTTGTGCTGAAGCGAGAGGTCCTCTGCTGGAATCGAACGGCTCGACTTCCTATGTGAGCTTGCTGCTTGGGACGAGGGACCCGCCTGAGCATTCGTCGATCGTGTGTTGGCATACATGCTGCCTCGTCATGCGCTCTTGAGACTGCGGGTCTTCGCGGATTGTGCTGTGGTAGTGACGAGGTCGGAAAGAACAACAGCGGCGTCCCCGCTACGCTAGTCCGTCATGGATGGAGATGAGACCACGTGGATGCTGACACGCCAGTGACCGTATCTCGATCCCGAGCTCAGGATTGAGTGGAAGGTGGTGAGGAAGAATGCGACGTGATAGGAGCGAGTCGAATGAAATGGCGCCGACTTTGGGGAAGTGTTGATCCGCGTCAAATCCAATTAAGCGCTGTTGACCGAAGACCAAACCTGAGGGTCCTGCCCCTTTGTTCTGGCACTTAAGCGTTTCATGCATCTCATGCTTTCCACTGAGATTCATAAGCTCAATTGTCTCACCATGCAGGCGATGCGAGATTGGCTTCATACGAAGGTGTTGGGGGGTCAACAGGTGCTTTGCAATAAGACTAATACTAAAGACTAATGGTATATGGTGTGTGCAATAACTTAGTGAGGATTGAGCGACCTGACGGATGAGCCTGGTCAGACGACCAGACAAGCACGCTCAATACAGCGAGCCCTTGAGACTGCGAGGCCAACCGTAGTCCATCATCTCGTCGTCCCAGCCAGGCGGCAGCTCAAATGACGTCCTGCGATCCTGAGCTGCCTTCTTGATCGCTTTGGCTCGCGCGGCGGCCACCGTGTTGATCGCCGCTACGGCATTGCGTCCGCCTCCCGTCTTGCTGTCCCAGATGCCCGGTCCTCCAGGCAGGTTGACCAGGATATGACGGGGTCGCGGCGTGCCCGACTTGCTCGTCGCCGATGCTGCGGGCCACAAGTCTCGCTCGTCCTCCTCGTTTTGGCCATCGTCCTCGGCCGACTTCATCGACTGCGCTGAGCGACGGCTTCGTACCAGCTTGGGGGGCGCTTTACGAGGCGCAGCGGGCGATCGTGAGCTCGTCGACGACATGCGAGGATCCATGCTGCTGCGGCGTGTCGGGCGACCATTGCGTTGACGAGACGGCTTGGAAGACGTGACGAGCGCCATATCGTCGTACGAGGCCGTCAGATCGGACAACGCTCGTGCGGATGCCTTCTGGCCCAGTCGCGCGTGGACAATCTCCTGCCCAGCTGCCCGCGTCGTGGCTCGCTTCTTCTGCATCGCCGTCTTGCGCTCTTCCTCCAGAAGCTCGTCCGCATCCAGATCCGAGCCTTCGTCTTCTTCTTCCTCGTCTTCGGCTGCAGCTTTGCGCTTGAGTTCGTCCTTGGTCTCCTCCGAGGCATCGCTGTCGTCCGACTCCCACACTCGGCCTTCCCGCGGTCGTTCGGGGCGAACACCGAGCTGAGGCAGTGGCACCACCGCAACACCACGAGCGTCGGGTCGTCGCGGCAGCCAAGGCGACGGTACTGGCGTGCTGATCGAAGCGTTGGGAGCGAGACGCTTGGTAGCTACGGGCGACGGACCGAGCGAGCTACGGCCGTCGTTTTGCAAGGAAGAGGTCGACTTGCTGGCCGTGGATGCCGCGTAGCCGCCGACCATCGAGGACATGCGCGAGAGCGTGCTTTCGGGCGATGGACTGCGAGCTGCTGGGTCGGTCGCCGAAGCCTTGTTGATGTCGACAGCGGCAGTAACTCGTGGAGCACTCTCGTTGTGCTGCTTGACGTCTGCCATCTCGGGGAAGACGATCTCTTGCTTGAGCGTAGTGGGGCCAGGATGACGGATCGTCTTCTCGCTGTCGGTCGTCGCCTTTCGCATGATGGAGCCCACAGCACGTGAGATGAGTTTCTTCTCCTTCTCAGCTGCAGGCTCGCGCGAAGCCGACCTGCCGAGCGCGGACGAGTTGGTCATTGTGGGAGGCGCAGCAGTCGTGCTCTGGCCGTTGCGGTTGGTGTTCTTGCCCGGCGAGGTCACGGTCTGCTCTCCGCCCGATTCCTCGCCCATGGGCGGCGAGGCGACGCCACGGCCAGAGACGCTCGCCTGACGACGTTGGTTGTTGCGTCGTGTCTGAGCTAGGACCTCAGCACCGAGCGCTGCGACCTCATCCTCGTGCCTTCGTCGGATCTCTTCGGCCTTTTGAGCACTGAGACCGAGCCCGGTGTTTTGACGAGGCGTGGCATCACCGGGTGCGCTGGTCTCGGATGCGACTGCGCGAGCGGCTCTGCTGCTCAACATCTGGCTACCGGCCATAGCAGAGTCCCCGTTGGAGGCCTCGGACAGCATCGAGGCGTCAAGAGCTGCGACAGGCGTTTCGGCGGTGGGAGAGGCGACTAGCGCACCCCCGTCTTCAAACGTGCTGCTGACAGGACGCGAGGTGTCGATGCTGCTTAGCAGCGATTGTCGTTTCACCTTCTCGGCGGCTGGAACGGCTGACGTGGCAGTTGCGGACTCGACGAGCGTGTCTGTTGTCAGAGGCATCGGCTCGTCCTCAACAGTAGCAAGAGGAGCTGTCGGGACTGTCGGGACGTCAGCAGCCACCTCGCTGGTGGCGGCGGTGGTCGAGACCTTTTCCACGGCTGCTGCGCTGGAACAGGCCGAGCCGATGCCATTAGGAGGACCCTCGACGGCCGAGTCCAGTGTTGCTGGCTCGCTGACCGGGTCGACCTTCTTCTGCTGCTCGAGCGACGCTTCCTCTGCCGCTGCAACAGCTGCCTGCTCAGCCGCCTCACGTTCGAGTCGTGCCTTGAGCTCCCTTTCTCGCCGACGGCGACGAACCCACGCCATCCCTGAGCCATCGTCCTCCTCGTCCTCGTCCGCCTCCATGTAGGCAGAAAGACCTTTGTAGTCGGAGCTGTTGGGTGTGGTTGCGAGCGAGGGCGGACCGCTTCCACCCAGGCTGCGGCGCGACGCCTCGCGGGCGAGACCGGCAAAGCCCCACTCGCTGAACTCGGGCTCCTCCTGTTTGGGCTGATCATTGACGCGGCGGGCTTTGATCTTGGTGCCATCGGGAAGGGTGACCATGCCCGTGCCTCCAGGACGAGCGAGTCGGATGAGCTCCCTTCGACGGGCGCGTTCGTCTTCGTCGCCCGAGCTGATGGCGCCTGTACGGCTTCGAGAGCGGCGGCGAGTGTGAGACGACTTGCGTTTGGACTTGGATGCCGACGATCCTGTTCTGCCGCGCTCCTCTTCGTCGTTCTCGGGGGCGGGTCTGCGCGCGCCATCTGTGCTCATGCCGTCCGAGAGACTGCCGGTGCTCTTGCGCCGAAGGCTATGACCGTCTTCGGACTTGTCGTCGGCGTCACCTATGCTGCCGGCCTTGCCGGCATGCCTCCGCTTGCTGCTCTTGCGTGTATAGTATTCTGGCTTGAAATAGGCCGAGGGCATGCCCATGAGGTACCACTTGCCCTTCATCGACTTGGCCTCGTCGTCGCTGTCGTAGGACGAGTCCGAGGTGTCCGACTCTTCGGAATCCTCGATCAATGCTGAACCGTTGAGCGAGTCCGTCGCTCCGCCGAGCAAAGCTGAAGTCGATGTCGGAGTAGGCAGAGGCGCGAAGCGGATGCGGGGCGACTTGATGTCATCGAGTGTAGTCGAAGTCGAATTGAGGTCAATGGTGGGAGGCTGCGATAGCTTTTCGGAGGGCGACATGGGCACGGTGCTGCTGCCGATGCTGGTGGTAGAATGGTCGATGGAACTCATGCTGGGCACCGAGTCTTGCGACTGGAAGCGTTTTTCCTCGAGCGGTGGTCGTGGAACGTCCTGTGCTGAGCTGCCAAAGCTTGCGGATGCGCGGCGAGTACGCGGTGTGACGCTGATCGAGCCGCTAACAAGGGCCTGAGCAGCGGCCATACTGCGACGAGTGTTGATGATGGCATTGAGCGCAGCAAGCTCTTCGGGATCCATCGGAGCTTCGGTGGGTGAGGAGCTGAGTCCGCCCTCGGCCAATGTAGATGCCTTTTTGGCAGAGGCCTCCTGCGCTGTGTCGATAGATCGAGAACCGCGTCTTGACGATCCGTTGCCCTTGCTAGTGGCGTCATCGTCGTCGTCGCTATCGCTGTCTCGAGCGGAACGACGAGAAGGTGCAGATGATTTGGGCGGATCGTTGGTAGATGGAAGACGTGCTCGTTTGCGGTCGTTGGCAGGTATCGCTGTGCTGGGTAGAACGGAGGCACCGCCGCTGCCGTGACCCCAACCGGCCATCATGGCCATCTGCGCGTTGAAGTTGAGATCACCGAGACCGAGGAGAAGCGCCTTCTTGGGGATGCCCCAGATCTTTTCGTCATCTTTGCCCTTTGCCTTTTCGCGTTCACGCTCTCGTTCCTTTTCACGCTCTCGAATGCGTTCGCGTTCCTTTTCCCTCTCCTTGCGGGATGGGACGGCTGGGATGTGAGTGACGACGGGAGCTGCTGCGGAAGAAGATCCTGCAACGACGGCAGGATCTGCGTAGATGACGCCCGAGTAAGGACGTTTGCGCGAGTTGATGAGGATGGAGGAGCGAGGGTAGAGTTGCGAGACGGAAGACGAATTGGAGAGGCTGTGTGTTCCGGAGCTCGGGCCAGCATCGAGGTCTAGGCTGGTAGCGCGAGCATGCTGGACGGTGGGAAAGCTTCGAGAGGGGGAAGAGGCGGAACGAATGGCCTTAGGGACTTTGATGTCATCGACGTGGGGCAAGGCGGGAACGGTTTTGGAGGTGGTGAGCATGTTCAGTCGAGGCGAGCGACTGCTGAGCTGATGACAGCTGATAGCGATGCAAAAGGATTCCGAGAGATCGCTTGCAGGCTCAGCTGAGAGTGATGGTTGTGATGCTAGCAATGAGCAGCGGCGAATGTTCCACTAAGGACGAGTCTCTGAGAGTTGCGCGCGCCGCAGTCAATTGAATCGGGATGTTTCCGCGATGAGATGACGAAGGGTGGTTCGGACACTCCCGAGATGCGTGGGAAAGGTGGCTGTTGGTGAATCGGATTGTCCGAGGTCGAGAAGGAAGGCCAGCTGCTCGAGGATGGAAGAGACGATCCCTTGGATTGACTGATCAAGCCCGAGGTTGGCTCGGCTGGACCCTGGATACGTGCGAGGCTGGAAGGATAGTGAAGGCAGCAAGCGTGGTGGTGTCCGCTGCTGATGGCCTTTGAAATGATCGTTGATAGTTATAGGAGAGGCGATATTCGAGTGCAGAGAGCGTGTGTGTGTGTGTGGAAGGGAGGGAAGCTGTGAAAGAACCAGTAAGATAGGAGAGAGACACACACACACGTCGACACGAGACGGGATCGAAGGGTCTCTGGTATACGGCTATGGGTCAATGTGCGCCTGTGTGGAGCAGGACGCACGGAAAGCAGGCTAAGCGAGCCAAGAGACGGTCTGTGTGTCTGCGCAGAAGCAAGAGCAGGGTCCGCTTCCCCGCTGCACTGACCCCCCCCCCCCCCCCCCCCC